ATTATTTTATCATGGCAATGGCAATGTTTGGTATTTATCTGAAGGCACAAGCTTCTGGAATCAAGGGATTGATTGATAATTGTCTAGATGGCAGCCAGTATCAAGTGGAGTGCCCCAAGGGTCAGTCCTGGGGCCGGTTTTGTTCAATATCTTCATAAATCTTCATAAATGATCTGGAAGATGGTGTGGATTGCACTCTCAGCAAATTTGCGGATGATACTAAACTAGGAGGAGTGGTAGATACGGTGGCAGGTAGGGATAGGATACAGAGGGACCTAGACAAATTGGAGGATTGGGACAAAAGAAATCTGATGAGGTTCAACAAGGATAAGTGCAGGGTCCTGCACTTAGGACGGAAGAATCCAATGCACCACTACAGACTAGGGACCGAATGGCTAGGCAGCAGTTCTGCGGAAAAGGACCTGGGGTGACAGTGGACGAGAAGCTGGATATGAGTCAGCAGTGTGCCCTTGTTGCCAAGAAGGCCAATGGCATTTTGGGATGTATAAGTAGGGGCATAGCCAGCAGATCAAGGGACGTGATCGTTCCCCTCTATTTGACATTGGTGAGGCCTCATCTGGAGTACTGTGTCCAGTTTTGGGCCCCACACTACAAGAAGGATGTGGAAAAATTGGAGAGAGTCCAGCGAAGGGCAACAAAAATGATTAGGGGTCTGGAACACATGACTTATGAGGAGAGGCTGAGGGAACTGGGATTGTTTAGTCTGCAGAAGAGAAGAATGAGGGGGGATTTGATAGCTGCTTTCAACTACCTGAGAGGTGGTTCCAAAGAGGATGGTTCTAGACTATTCTCAGTGGTAGAAGATGGCAGAACAAGAAGTAATGGTCTCAAGTTGCAGTGGGGAAGGTTTAGGTTGGATATTAGGAAAAACTTTTTCACTAGAGGGTGGTGAAACACTGGAATGCGTTACCTAGGGAGGTGGTAGAATCTCCTTCCTTAGAAGTTTTTAAGGTCAGGCTTGAGAAAGCCCTGGCTGGGATGATTTAGTTGGGGATGGGTTCTGCTTTGAGCAGGGGGTTGGACTAGATGACCTCCTGAGGTCCCTTCCAACCCTGATATTCTATGATTCTATGATAATTGCAGCTTTCATTAAAAGGACTCTAGCCTTCCTGGTTAAGGAAAAAAGCTGGAAAATATTAAGCTAATATACCCTATAAACACAAAAACACAAACAAATAGAACCCAAATGTATTTCTTTTTTAAAATATCATACTTTTAATGCATGACTGATGATTTTTGAATTCTTGGGGCTGTCTAATACTGTAAATAAGTTTAGTAAAAATACTATAGAATGTGGCCTTTCAGAGGGATTTCACAGAAGAAAGTGCAGTACTCCTCATGAAAATTTGGGAAGTCATTTCTATGCACAAGTGGTGATGTGTCAAAGATAGAGGCACTAGATAGAAGGGCAAAACAGCAATTGCAGAAATCAGTGCTCATTGGTGCATCAAATTAAACTGCAGATGTTTTGAGAGCAGTCTGAGAAATCTATACGTCTTAATAACATTTGATCACAAAGAATACATTTGTGCAACAGGATAAAAATACTGCAAATTTAGAAATAAATCTGGTATGGAAATTGTATGGTGGGCCATGAATGCTCACAAAATTTGGATTGGGGTTCAGGAGGGATTGAGGGCTCTTGGGTGGGGCCAGAAAAGAGGAGTTCAGGGTGCGGGAGGGGGCCCCAGGCTGGGGCAGAGGGTTGGAGTACGGGGGGGGTGAGGGCTTCGGCTGGGGCTGCAGGTTCTGGGGCGGGGCTAGGGATGAGGTGTTTGGGGTGGAGGAGGGTGCTCCAGGCTGGGACTGAGGGGTTCAGAGGGCAGGAGGGGGATCAGGGCTGGGTCAGAGGCATGGTGGAGATCAGGGGTGCAGGCTCTGGGTAGCACTTACCTCAAGCAGCTCCTGGAAGCAGCAGTATGTCCCCCCTCCGGCTTTGGCATGGCCAGGCGGCTCTGCGCGCGGCCCCATCCTCAGGCACCGCCCCTGCAGCTCCCATTTGCTGCAGTTTCCAGCCAATGGGAGCTGCAGGGTTGGCACCTGCGGACAGGGCAGCACGCGGAGCGCCCCAGCTGGCCCTAAACATAGGAGCCAGAGGGGAGACATGCCGCTGCTTCCAGGAGCTGCGGTGCGCAGAGCAGCCTCTGACCCCACTCCCCGGCTGGAGCGTGAAAGCGGGGCAAGCCCCAGACCCCACTCCCCAGCAGGATCCTATAGGCCAAAGTTTCTCAACTTTTCAGGTTGGCGACCGCTTATTCAAAATAAAAAATGTTTACAACCCTCCTCCCTCTTACACGTACTACAAGAACAAAAGCGTATCCATGATAACTATGATAAACCTGTAGAATTTGTGTGTGTTGTGAGAGGTCAATAGAGAATACATAGCCCAAGCAGTAGACACTCATGCTTTATAATACAGGGATCCTGCTTCAATCCCTGCTGACAACCTGACCAGAAAAATACCCAACCCACAAACAAAACAAACACCCTCAAGATCCTTTCGAGATGACCCCTAATCAGCCCAACTCTCATTCAGTTCAAAAGCTCAGCACAATGGGGCCCTGATACTGCTGGGCTATTTGGACACTACCGCAGTGTAAAGGATAACAGTAATGAATAACAATGAGCCTCATTTCCCCCTTTTTTAATTTCTCATCATCACTCCTCCTGACTTGCCCCAAAATTTGTTGGACTGGATCCTCAGCTGGTGTAAATTGCTGTAGATCCATTAAAGCCAACACTCGCAGATCTTGCTATATCTTGACTTTATATATCACATATATCTCGACTTTAGCAAAGCTTTTGATACGGTCTTCCACAATATCCTTGCCAGCAAGTTAAAAAAGTATGGATTGGATGAACGGACTATAAGGTGGATAGAAAGCTGGCTAGATTGTCGGGTTCAACAGGTAGTGATCAATGGCTCAATGTCTAGTTGGCAGCCAGTATCAAGTGGAGTGCCTCAAGGGTCGGTCCTGGGGCCGGTTTTGTTCAACATCTTTATTAATGATCTGGATGATGGGATGGATTGCACCCTCAGCAAGTTCGCAAATGACACTAAACTGCGGGGAGAAGTAGATACACTGGAGGGTAGGGATAGGGTCCAGAGTGACCTAGACAAATTGGAGGATTGAGCCAAAAGAAATCTGATGAGGTTCAACAAGGACAAGTGCAGAGTCCTGCAATTAGGACGGAAGAATCCCATACACTGTTACAGGCTGGGAACTGACTGGCTAAGCAGCAGTTCTGTAGAAAAGGACCTGGGGATTAAAGTGGATGAGAAGCTGGATATGAGTCAACAGTATGCTCTTGTTGCCAAGAAGCCTAACAGCATATTGAGTTGCATTAGTAGAAGCATTGCCAGCAAATAAAGGGAAGTGATTGTTCCCCTCTATTCGGCACTGATGAGGCCTCATCTGGAGTACTGTGTCCAGTTTTGGGCCCCCACTACGGAAAGGATTTGGACAAATTTGGAGAGAGTCCAGCAGAGGGCAACGAAAATGATCAGGGGGCTGGGGCACATGATTTACAAGGAGAGGCTGAGGGAACTGGGCTTGTTTAGTCTGTAGAAGAGAAGAGTGAGGGGGAATTTGATAGCAGCCTTCAACTACCTGAAGGGGGGTTCCAAAGAGGATGGTGCTTGGCTATTCTCAGTGGCGGCAGAAGACAGAACAAGAAGCAATGGTCTCAAGTTGCAGTGGGGGAGGACTAGGTTAGATATTAGGAAACACTATTTCACTAGGAGGGTGGTGAAGCACTGGAATGGGTTACCGAGGGAGGTAGTGGAATCTCCATCCTTAGAGGTCTTTAAGGCCCGGCTTGACAAAGCCCTGGCTGGGATGATTTAGTTGGTGCTGGTCCTGCTTTGAGCAGGGGTTGGACTAGATGACCTCCCAAGGTCTCTTCCAACCCTAATCTTCTATGATTCCTGTCTACTATAAACTGGTGTCTCCCCATGTGAATCAATGAGGGCAGATCCCCACCTGGTGTAAATTGATGTTGCTACACTGGAGCCAATGAGGTCAGATTCCCAACTGGTGTACATTAGCCACTCTTCATAGGAGCCAATGGCTCAGAACCCGAGGGTATATAAAGCTGTGTCACTCCATTGAGTCAGAGGCACTAGATCCCAGATAGTGTAAATAGACCATCACTCCAGTGGACTTGGCAGAGCTGGGCGGATTTACACCAGATGGATATCTGGCCATTTGGTTTGTAATCAGCCCCCTGCAGCAGAGATCTAAAACAAAGCCATTTTGTCCACTACACCCCAGCTCTGGGGCCAGTTCAATTTCATATATACTATAGTGCAAGAAACTGCTACCTGTAGGCATTTGCTACATCAGGTAGCAGTGTACTACAATAGCAGTTTCTTACAATCTAATGTATCAGTAACTGCTACCCTACAAGGAGCAGTTTACTACACTACACCGGCAGCTCCCAGGGCTGTCTCCACCTCCTTAACAGCCCTCACGGCCTTGGCCCGTCACTTCTCAACCACCCACCATGACAGCCTGGGTGAGTCCATCCCCAGCTGCTGTGAGAGCACCCCTCCAAGCCAGTTCCCTGCCTGGCACCTCCGTTCTCCTCAGGGGCAGCCTAGACATGCAGCAGTGTCTCCCCTCCCCTGACACAGCAGGTGGGGATGAGGAGACTCCAGGAGACAGAGGGGGTAACTTTAGGGCTGTAGATTGTTCCCTCTGGGACCACAATGTAAATAGCTGCAGGGCTGGTGGGTCCCGGTCCTGCAGCAGGGGCAGATTGGCAGAGGCCCTGGGTGTTTTTCATCTTCCTCTGCAGCATGGGGCACGGGGCACTTGCTGGAGGATTCGCTGCACCTTGAAGTCTTTAGACCATGATTTGAGGACTTCAGTAGCTCAGACCTAGGTCAGGGGTTTGTTACAGGATGGGTGGGTGAGATTCTGTGGCCTGCGTTGTGCAGGAGATCAGACTAAAGGATCATAATGGTCCCTTCTTACCTTAAAGTCTATGATTCCCCTGGGGCTCGGTTAGCCTCTGTCTGGTTCATTTGCGCTGGAGGTTTCTGTCTGTCTAGGCAGGAGAGAAGGAATCTGGCTTCATCCATCTTTAATTGACCTACGCCAGGAGAACCAGGGAGGGGTTTTTAGTAGCTGTGGCCACCAGAGGGCCCTGGCTGCTGCTAAGGGAGGGCTGGTGGCTCTCTATGCTTCTCTCTGCCCGCCATTTCCGGGGCTGAACTTCCCGGGTCAGACGCTGCCGCTGCCTCCATCGTGAGCCGGGAGCCGAAGCTGAGCCGCTGCCGCTGCCCAGCGGGGTGTGTGCGGGGAGAGCCCTTCCCCAGCGCCCCTCGGGGCCCAGCCGCGGGGACTTTCTGCGGGGGCTGGAACCAGCCCCTGAGCCGGAGCCTGCAGGTGAGGGGAGAGACCCGGGGGAAGGGCCGGGGCCGGGCAGGAAAGTGACTCTGCACCAACGGCCCCGCCTCGCCCCAGCTCTGCTCCCGGGGGGGCGGGGGTCTGCGAGTCCCGGAGCTGCTGCTCCCCACCCCGCGCTCTGCTCCCCTGAGCGCCTGCAGGAGCCGAGCCAGCGCCTGGAGAGCGACCGGCCTGGGCCGGGCCAGGGACCGAGTCTCCCAGCCCGAGAGGAGGGGAGGGAGATGGGGGGAGAGTCCGGCAAGGCCAGCAGGAGCAATAGGGGGGAGGGAGGTTCCCAGCTCCCAGCCTTGCCCAGTTCCATTCACTGCAGACGCAGCACCCCGGGCAGACTGACTTTCCTGAGACAAGGTGAGGAGCAGGAAGAGGAAAAACAAGTTCTTGCCTTTGCCTAGTCCCTGCACTGCTGGGGAATGTGCTGCCCTGTGGACAGTGTCAGGGGGATCCCCAAAGTAGCTCTTTCGATTCTGAAATTGTGGGGGCCAAGAGCAATCAAGAGATCTTCTCAGTAACTTCCTGTGCCCAGATACACAAAGGGGCTGGGGTGTTGCAACGCTGAGCATCATAAAGGCCTCCTGGCATGTAGCCAGTCACTGGAGTAACAATGGAGTGAGGTGCCCACGCTCCCTGTACAGTGACTGGGCAGAGATAGGGGCCTAGGAGTGGGATCCACAAAGGCCCCTATGCTAGGTGAGCAGCTGCTTGAGCTAGCCCATGGAGATGCTGATGACAGGGATGTATCCAAAGCCCAGCTCTCTCTCAGAGATAGGGTTCAGACTGCAGGGCAGCACCTATCCCTGTTCGGGAACTACAGCTGGGATATCCTCTTCAGGAGGCTGGTAGGTCAGGTGCGTATTGTGGTTCTTGTGAGGCACTTAGGCAGCTGTTGAAATCCACACACAATAGACTCAAGCAACTCCCCAGCCCTGCAGAGTGTGGAGCTGCAGGGAAAGAGCCTGGTGGGAATCAGGGTGTGAAATGCATTGAAGCACCTTTGGAAATGGCCCCAATTTCCCTTCTCGCCCTGACAGGCTGCGGAATAGGTCCCAGTCCAGGTTATCCCACATTCCTGAGTAACAGGGAAGGGACATGGCTGCAGTGGAGCTGGTGACCTTTGAGGAGGTGGCTGTGTATTTCACCAAGGGGGAATGGGCTCTGCTGGACCCGGGTCAGAGAGCCCTCTACAGGGACGTCATACGGGAGAATTATGAGACCGTGACCTCGCTGGGTAAGGATTCGTGCCTCCTCGGGCATTCAAAATTGGTGTGTATGTATGTCTCAGAAGCATTGGTGTCAGATTCTGTGCAGGGTTCTTCATGGGTCCCTCAGATCTCAGGGGGATCTGCCCCGATAATCCCAAGCTCCTGTCTGTGAAAGACTGTGACCTCCACACACACCCTGTTAGGAGAGGAAATTCAGGGACATAACAATCATGCTACTCTTCCCACAACTGAGGTTTTCAAGAGGGACAGGTTCCCTGTATCCCTCCCCCCCTTCCTAGGGGATGTTCTGTCCTTTGGTGCCTCTGACCCCTCTGCCGTCTGACAGATGAACACGAGTCTCATGCCTCAGCCCTGCCTAACTCCCCAGCAGCCAGATTTTCAAATGTGCTTTCTCTCTGTCTTGCCTGTGGTCTGCCCCAGCCAGCTGTGTTAGCGGGAGGCCCCGGATGTTCTCGATTCTCTTCCACCAGCCAGGAGGGGCATGGACCAGAGTCACGGGGCTGGGTCCAGTTGTTGCTAATGCCTACAGGGCCACCTCCTATGCCAGCATGCTGAATTCGTGGAAGGAGGGTGCTGTTCATGGTGTTTTTTCCTGGACATGCCTGAGCCTTCTGAAATGATGGTTCCTTGCAGGGAGAAGAGCTGGGTTCTGGGGCAGAATGAGGGTGGAGGATGTGATTCATGGTCTGAATGTATTCTGTGGGGTAGCTCTCTACATTAGAAGAGAGGGGAAAGTTGGGTTTTGGTTCAGGATGCTGTGTGGGCAGAGCGGGTCTCCTAGATGGTGGGGGAATGTCTTCAGCCCCTCTCTGGGCCCTTGCAATCCTGCCCTTCTCTGAGGCTTCTCAAAGAATCTTGTCCCCTGCTCCTGGATTAGGCGACTTTGCCAGTGGCTGGTGGGGGAACCCAGGCTGCCCACTACTCCAGGTGGCAACCCAGGGACCCTATAAACAGCAGCTACATACTACTGGGGGGAGGGATAGCTCAGTGGTTTGGGCATTGGACTGCTAAGCCCAGGGTTGTGAGTTCAATCCTTGAGGGGGCCGTTTAGGGATCTGGGGCAAAAATTGGGGATTGGTCCTGCTTTGAGCAGGGGGTTGGACTAGATGACCTCCTGAGGTCCCTTCCAACTCTGATATTCTATGATTCTATGCTCCCTGTTTTCCCTGGGCCTTTGCCCACCTGGGCCCTTTACCTCCCTAATTACAGTCTCAGTCTCTCTCTCTAGTTCCAGTAAATGCAACCTGTCAAGGTCCTCTGGCCAGAGCAGAGCCCCTGTCTTCACCCATCTGGTCCCAGCCAGGTACTGCCCCACTCAGCCCCTGCAGCTCCTTTTATCTGAGCCTGGTGGGCTCTGACTGGCTGCTTCTCTGTGGCCTCTATAGGCAGGCCTGGAGGACCCACCTTTGCTGGTCCTTTCCTGGGGTGGGGTGTGGTAGGCCTATGGGGCCTCTAGCAGGGGGCCTGGAAGGGTCTGGTGCACCCATCACAGAGACAATCTTCACTCCAAAGAGCTCACAGTCTTAAATAATGACTTCCTGTTCTGCTTTTGTTGGGGAGGGACATGGGTGTGTGGGGAGGCGGGAGTTGGTGGTGATTTTCTAGACAGTTAATGCATGGCTGTGATGCTTCCAAGTCAAAGCAAGTAGAAATATTGGAAACAAATGGTTCCATAGAAAATCAAATCAAAACATGCCTTCTAGAGCCGGGACTTAATTAATTAACACGATTCTCTCCTGTACAGCTCACCCAAAGTCCTTGCAGCACTTTACAGCCAGGCAGGCTGTGATCCTTTTCTCATAAGACAAGCGCGTGACAGTTTGCCTCCTAGCTGAAGGATTCAGAGCATCTCTGTGCACTCCAAGATAAGCCATATCAGTCTGTTGTCTTTAGTCATAAACAGGACACTCCCTGCTGTTTTTTCTACCTGTGGATTTCCCCTCTCGTAGACTTCACAATCGCTCCATTTCACACCTGGCTCAGTACGCAAACAGCCATACGGTGTGAGGCATATGATACATAAATGGCCAGACAGGGAGATAGGTGACAGTTAGCTTCTGTCTGAAAGGAACATTTCTGAGGTATGTCTCCTCCCTGGTGACCTGCCTTAACTCCAAGACTCTACAAACATAACTTTTCAATAAAGATATGTAATTTCTCTGATATTATCCATAGACACGTTTCATGCTGATGATGACCAGTAGCCTACTGGTCTTTGGTAGAGCCCTCATACACCTACCTGCCAGTGAACTGTTATGCAGATCTCTGCCCCTGGGGATCCTTGTACAATCCTATGCACCCTGTGTGTCCTCACGAGTTGGTATTGAGAGGTCCCTTAGTCTCACCCTCCGTGTTCCTGGGGCCCTGCAACAGCTAGCGCAGGGATGGAGAAAGCTGGTGATGGATTACACACGAGCAGGGAGAGATGCTTCGGAAGCAGGAATTCATGTAAACCTTACGCCACTATGGCTGGTTTAGGAAACAGATTTTTAATTACCACAGCACCTGCCCTCTCCAATGGGCATCAGGGCCGATTGTGCCATAATGGTACTTATATGGGTCCCCGTTACCACCGTGTCTGAGCATCTTGCAGTATTTAACATATCCCTTTGCCCCTGTGGAAGAGGGAGCTGCTATTACATGTGTTATATGCATAGGGGACTGAGGCACAGATAGTCTAGTCTAGACGCTCACATGGTCACCCAGGAAGTCTGGCAGAGCAAGAAACTGAACCAGATCTCCTGAGTTTTAGGCCAAATCCCTAACGACCCCCTTCCTGTCACTCTGGGAACCGACATTCACACAGGAAGAGACAGCCCCTGCTCCCAAGTGACTTCCATCTAAAAAGAGAAGACAGATGGAGAGTCGGTGGCTTTCTCCATTTCACAGGGGGAGAGTGGGGACCAGAGGGATTAAGACTGGAAATTTGTAAGGGGCCTAGACACTGCAGTCAGTGCAGTTGGATGTTTAACTCTCTTGGGTCCCTTTGAAAGCCACAGCCTGTATGAATTAGATGCTCTCATGTCTTGTAGAGTGATGCTCACTCAAAATCCTTTCAGCATCCCACAGCCCGGCTGGCTGTGACCTGTGTTCTCTGTAAGCTGTGTACTTGCGCAGCCGCCCAGGAGAGATTCAAACGCTGCCCAGCTGATTTGCAGAGCATGCACAGCCAGCAGCATATGTTCAGGTGCCCCTCCTCCATGTTGCTCTGTCCTGCAACTGCTCTTGGGATCCTCCTGTTGGCTGTGTGGGGGGAAGGAGGGTGCTGGTTTTTGGGTGTTCCCCTGCCCCTGTACCCCATCTCTGCAGAGCAGGGAAGAAGGGACACAGCCTGGCTCACCCTGCACTGTTTCTGAGATTTCCCCAGCAACTAGCTCAGACAGTTTCTGTGTCTGTCTCACACACTCACAGTCTCTCTCTCTCTTTCACACTCACCTCCCGACACATATTGTATTATTATTGTTACTTCTTGATACTTCCTGCAATG